AATGCAAATGAGGGCATAAAATAAAAACAGAGATAGAAGATGCTATTGCAGTTCCTTGATGATCTAAACGGCGAGTTAACGAACAATATAAGATATGCCGACGACACGGTGATCCTTGCCAGTACCATAGACGAATTACAACAAGTAATGGAAAGACTTTATACAGTTAGTGAGGAATACGGCCTGAGCCTCAACTTCAGGAAGACAAAGTGGATGCTGATAAGCAAAAAGCAACAACCTGCTCGACAATTACGGATAAGTAACATACTAATTGATCATGTAGAATCTTATGTGTACCTTGGCACCAACGTAAATGCAAAATGGGAACAGACCATAGAAATTAAGCCGAGAATAGAACGAGCTAGAGCAGCATTTAGCAATATGAAAAAGCTCCTCATAAGCAAGGATTTGTCTCTTCCCCTAAAACTACGTCTAGTTAAATACTACATTTTACCGATCTTGCTGTATGGCGTGGAGGCCTGGACGCTGACGGAGACGCTAACGAGGAAACTAGAAGCATTCGAAATGTGGGTGTACCGACGCATTCTTCGTATATCCTGGACCGAACATGTCACCAACATAGAGGTACTCCAAAGAATCGGAAAGGAGAAAGAGATCGTGAATACAATTAAACAAAGAAAGCTTGAATAGCTAGCCCACATATTGAGACACGATAAGTACCGTCTGTTACAATTGATTGTCCAGGGAAAAATAGACAGTAAGCGAGGGCCAGGCAGGAGAAGACACTAGTGGCTCCAAAATCTGCGGAAGTGGTTCGAGCTCACATCGGTCGAACTATTCAGAAGCGCCGCAAACAAGATCAAAATTGCCATGTTAATAGCCAACGTTCGCAACGGACAGGGCACTTGAAGAAGAAGAAGGTCAAGGGTTTCGCCGGTTAACGGCCTAGGAATTCTTATTTGTTCCATCCAATGTGAATGTCTCTAGCAGATCTTTAATACAGTGGACCAACTCATCCGTCCGAAGTATGTGTATCTGTGTATGTATATAGGTATAGAAAAAAATTATCTGACTATAGGGCATTAAGGCAACGCAACGAACTGAGAAACAAATATTATATAGAATTGTATGTCCGAGAGAATAACATGTAACCACATGTCTGTGATAGACCCGTAAGCACTATGGGCAGTCTTGTCTGTACATTGTTGCCGAAAGAAGGGTTATTGTTTAGATGGTCTGGGAAAATATTTTAACGATGTGATTACAAGATTTAAAAGCAAGTTTATATTTTAGAATAAATCAACAGATTAAATTAACTTAACAGCATAAACTAAAACAATTTATTCTAAAAAATAACAATTTTATAGTTTTAAATAAAACTATTTTAAATTAAATTTACAAAAAGTCCACCACGTTCATCCAAGCAGTAGCCCAATTTATTGTATAATAGCCTTCGGGTGGTTGACAACATTTCGGGTGTTATGCTTTGAAAGAATTGAATGATTTGTTGACGTAATTCGTCTAAATTTCCGGCAAGTTCGTTGCTTCACATAATCTCATACGTAAAATTCCAAAGGTGCAAGATCAGGAGAGCGAGGTGGTACTTCTATGGCACCTTTTGTACTAATAACTATCTGGAAACGTAATGTTTAAAACATCTTACACCTCCCGTGCATTGTAAGCTAGACAGCCGTCCTGCTTCAACCAAATTTCATCCATATAAACAGATAACGCTTGAACTGCTGAAATCGTGTGGTTTTTCAGGAGATATAGCTATTAACAACGATACAAAGTGCTCACAACAAAAAAGGGAAAATTACCACCTAAAATACCAACCTAGACGTAAACTTTTTAAGGGTATTGTGTTTTGTAAGAAACACTTATGTGCCTATTTTCTGTAGAGTACTCTACAGTAACAGATGGATTGTGATGGCCAGTTAAAGAAAAAGAAGAGTCACCTGTAAACAATTTTTTTGTTAAAACTTCATCACGATTAGTTCTTATTCCGGAGGAAAGATTTCCTGAGTTTTTTAAAATTTGTAGAAAATGGTACTTGTTTAGTTTTAAAATATTTCGTACAGTTCTCTACCAGTTTCTCTTGAAATTAGGGTGCCGTTACAACGAAAATTGATTTCAGCTGTACTTCATTACTATCCGTGCATTTTCCACAATTCTTGACCCAACCAGATTTTTCAGATTTAAAAATAATGTTGTAAATCATAGATTTTGTTGGTACAGGTCCTTCGAATGAAAACGAAAACCTACCGATTATAAAATAATATTATATTCATTTGTAAATGTTACCATTTTCCTAACTTGAAATATCAATTTCTTTATTCTATTTTTTGCGAATATAGCCAAAATTATTACTATTGAAAAAGTAAACGTATATTTCGTTTTAATAACGTTTCCGTTATTAAAACGAAATGTCACTTTGACAAAACTAGAATTCAATCTAATGGGTGTTAAAAACAAGCTCGTATGCCGGTACTAATTTAATACTATATTCGGTCTTTCTCTGTTAGCTGCACAACCTCATACTGTTCTTTTCGCACTAGTTATGCGTGCTATATGCAGTTTTCTTATTACCACAACTGGACATCTAAACAGTCACAAAATCTTAAAAATGATCTGATCTAAACTTAGACAAAAAGTCTAGCACTGAAATAGTCAAGCACTGAAATAACATCAGTTAACCCACTGCTACATGGTGTAGAAACCTGGACCATAAAGGCCAATGTGATGAACCGATTGGAGGCCTTTGAAATGTGGGTATTTAGAAGACTACGTAAAATTCCCTGGACAGATCACACAACAAATGTCGAAGTATTAAATACTCATGGCTTAAAAACATAAGGGATTGGACAAACCTCGATGCCCATGCACTTTTTAGAGCCACACAAGATCGAGAGGAGTATGCCAGAATTGTCGCCAACATCCACTAATTGGATAGGGCACCATGAGAAGAAGAACCCATTTGTGAAGCCCATAAGTGAATATTTACTGATACACCATATTCTAATATATTATACTTAGTATTTTGTTAGAAATATTCCTGATTTTCTAGGAATAACCCTAGTGGGACAGTAATCTCCCAGTGGTATTTTTAAGGAGGACATATTTAACCCATTGGTTTTTTTGCAGTATGTCGAAACGGGAGCTTTCTGAAAAGAATCTTCAATATTTAGCCCATAACCTTTCAGATTTTGAAAGTAAGCCGGACTCTTTTAAGACTAATAAGGATACCGAATAAAACAGAGACAACATCTTCTTATTCATATGCTCAAGAAGACGAAGAAGTCAACAGCGATGATTAAATCTTTCTGGAAATGAAGCTAAACATCTCGAAGATAATCAAGTGCAGGTGACGATAAGTCAGGATTGAGGCAACAAAGATGAAAATATTATATGGTTTACCCTAACCAACAGCTTTCTTCCAAAACTTCAGATATACCTCGGTAAGGTAGATAACGAGGTAAAAAGATCTTTGGGTTGCACTTTTGTTATTAGTTATAACATATTGCCAGCAATTCTTCTAAGACGTATTATGTAAACAAACTTATAAATTGTTTGAACCATACTTTTCAAAAATATAGAGCTTATTCCTCTAGACAGAGTATTGATGAAAGAATGATACAATTTAAAGGGGATTCTGAAGGGGATTTAAAGGGGAATGATAGTGACGCTTTCACTGGTTACACCTATGACATAAATGTGTATACTAGGAAGGAAGACGAACAAGTTGATCTTGGAAGATCTTATCACTGAAGCTTATGAAAGATATTCCATTTTTATCTGTAGGAACGGTTTCTGTAAACAGAGAAAATATACCAAAACTCACCAAAAAATTTATTAGCAGAGAATCTTGAGTAAAGTAATAGAAATAAATATATTTTGGACGAAGTGGCAAGATACCAAGGAAGTCCTAATCCTTAGTAACTGTTATGGAGGTCGATTTACAACTGTATTACGCCGTGATAAGGAAAGTAGGAGAACACGTGTCGAGGGTGGAACATGTCAACGTTGTGCTAGATGTTCCCAACGGAAAATGGAAAAACGAACTTAAACACTATACAGAATGTGTCAAGTTCTATGTGTTTGCGTAGCCTAATTGCATACAAAATAGCTTAGAAATTACAATTTTAACTCCGTTTACAAAAGTGGGACTGAAAGGGTTAAAGAGTGCTGTGGAATGCTTAGGGAAATCATTCAGACACAGAAAGAACTGATATACACCGGCACATACCGAAATTGAGAGAAATAAAAATGCCAACGAATTATTGCCGGCAGCCGCACAACAACTGGCTCATCATACGGTAAGATTTATGTTACTAATACTTCAATTCACAATCCCCGGGGATAAATGGCCAAAATGCCATGACATTTTACCGTAGTATAAACAGTAAAATGATTTTTCACTTCTATAAATGATATCACGGACAAATTTTAGCTTTAAAAATTTAAAATTGGATGGTAGTTAAAATTCTATATAATATTTCACATATTTTAATAATGGCAATCCCTTTTGAAAATTTCTCTAGTACGCGCATGTAAGTTCACAGCGTATCACCCCTAACAATAAAAATATATAAAAATATAATTAAATGTAATAATTACAATAAATGTAATAACTATTCAGGAAATTTTGAGGATTTGTAAAAATAAGCGTCTATTGTGATACGAATGAATTTCCAAACTCATGTAAATCTTGTAATTTTGATTCCTTTTTTATTCGTAATCATTTTCCGATTTCCGCAGCCCTGGTTAAATTGAATCAATTCCTACAAAGTATGAACAATTTCTACCTAAAGACCAAATGTATTGGAACTATCAATGATCTGCATTAGTAGGTATCCCGGGGGCTTTTGCTGTGTGAATGCATCGCATCCATTCCATCCAACACGTTTATGACGCAACCGAAATTCGGGAGGCGCTTCTAAACAAACCGTTACCGTAGCAACTGTATCGTGACGTCACTTATGACGTCAGCGCGAGAATCGTGGACCGAGTTATATATCGACGACTGTGAGGTTGGGATCGCTCATTGTAGTAGCGCCAGGCGCGGAAACGTGAGTGCTAAAACACAGTGATCGTACTAGTCCAAAACATCTTTTATATTTTTCTACTTTTATATCTAATTGTATAGTTTCGTTATTTTTATTACTTAGAAGTTATATTTTCTCATCGTTTTATACGCTTCTGGTGAGTACTTATATTTTAAAACACCCTCAAATACGCAGTAAACTATATATGTCACATGCTACTCAGCTGATCTTAACTATACACACTAAATATAGTAACCTTTGGAGTGGCTGTGAATATAGGTTTGTAGTTTTGACAGATTTTAAGGTCGACATATGGTCTACCCTTAAAAATATCTGATATTCACTTGTTTATGTAGTCAGGAACATTACAATTTTGTACCCTACATTATCTAATCAACAGTGACGCAGTGATATAGTGTTTAGTGATTGAATACCTAATTACCACGACACATTTATGTTTTTTCTGGAACACAAGGTAACAAAATACACTTATATAAATCAATATGCAACTTCCTTTAATTATTAGTAGTGGAAAGCTAAGGGAGGTTATTGAAAAGAAGCTTTTAAGAATAGTATTATTATGGATAATGTTGTTCTGCAGAATTACAAATATATAATAGTATTTCTATTCTGTTTGCCTAATCTCTTTTTGTGGTTTGTTCTCATATGTTTAAAATATTAATGTAAGTAATATATTTATTTACTTTTTCAGTACTAATCAATGACCCAGTCATTAGTTCATCTCTCAAGTTTAATATTTTCTGGAAAGTTCTATTAAATTCTAGAACTTATCTTCCAATTTTTTTTATTTATGTTGTAGATGTAGAAGTTATTTCGTTTTTACCTCATAATTTATACATTATGATCGATCGTTCCATAGCTCTTTGAAATTTGAATATAGGTTTGCAGTTTGAGAAGGCTTTGAGGGGTGGTAAAGGCGACATACGTCTTTCAAATTAAATTTCTTCTTGTCAAGTTTTGACTTATTTTATCATAAATATCTATATCTGTCCGTCCTATCTTATTATTGTCAGATGTAAATGTTTTGGGTTAGGTAAATTGTAATATAAAACCTCATTTAGGTATCCTTTGGCAGTCCATGATATTTGATTGTTAACCAAGTCAAGTGTCTATCTTCTAGTCTTTGGAGTATATAAGTACTTGCCCACGTGCTTTTAATTCTCTTTTATTTGCTGCTTCATTTCTTTTTAAAATATTGACTTAATTTTCATGGATTTTCACATTGGAAAATTCTAGTTTCTTCTTGTCTGCTGCAGCCATCACTAATGTTTTTAAATAATTATAATGCCACTGTTTTGACGCACTTACGCTATATTTAGCATACTTTATCGACATATTTATGTGGACATCCCATACTGTTTTTTCTTTTTCTGTCTATTCGGCACTCCTTCCACTCATTATTTTGCTGTGAACGTACTTAATTTACTGCATCATTTTTAGATTAGATATAAACATATTAGAAATATCTAAGGAACACAAAGTTTTTTAACAGAAAAGTCAACATAAAACAAAAAACGTGTATAATAATCTGTGTTTCCTGCATCAGGATTAATTAAAGCTTGACGGTTCTTTGGCATGCTTCCTGTTTAAGAAGATCTTAAAGACCGTGTCTAGTATAAATATTGTGCAGATGAGGAGCAGTCTGTCTCTGAAGCTATCATACATGCTCGATGGAATTAAGATCTGGCGATTGTGCTGGACACAGTAAAATTATTTTATGTCCTCATTATAAAACCAATCTGCAGCAGTGGAAAATGGAAGGACAACAGGTTCTTATATACGATCAATATATAGATTGATTTTTAGTGCCTTCGACAAAACCGGAAACGGCTCGATAATGAAAAACCAGTTTCAGCCCACATCATAACTTGTAGACCACTATATGGACAAATACCCTGTACATGCCTGAGTCTCTCTTGTCGTCCAGGTCCTCTCCAAACTCTCAATATTTTTTAATCGGGATAGAGACAAAACCTAGCTTCATCTCTAAATAACACAGAACTCCATTCTGCAGAAGTCCCACTGCACATGTTCTTGTATCCACCTTAATCTGAGTCCACGATTTCCATGACTTAATATGGGAACTCTCAATGGGCGTCTGGCGTGCGGGTCAGTTTCATGTAATCTATTCCTCAAAGTTTGGCACATAAAGTAAAATGTTGTGAGTATTTTGTAAGGCCTCATAGATAGAGTTGATGTGCAGTTATATGCAAATTTGGAGAAGGTTATGCTACCATATACCGATTCTGTCGAGAAGTAGTTTCCCGTTAACGACCTTCATATCTTTCGGTGACTTTACCAAATTGTTCACACCGACATCCCGAAATCACGCTCCGAGACACGTCAAAATGATCTGCAACATCAGTTTGTGAAAGACCAAGCTGAATCATATCGTTATTATTAAATAGTTTTGATTATAATATACAACTAATCAATATTCTCAAGAATGAATGAATTCTTTCTTTTTCTAAATGTGCCTGTCTTCTATAGATGTTAGCAACCACATTGACACATCTTATTTTATTCACAGCAGCTCGAAATAGATCAGTTGACGTCACACGAGTCCATTTCCTAAGATTGGCCAGCCAGGATATACGTCTACTTTCTTACCTTACGTTCAGGTTTCTACAGGATAAGATTGCCCTTCTACAGGGCAATCTTGCCCTGTGGAATCAACTGTAGAAGTCGGTATTTATCATTACGCATAATGTGGCCGAAATAAGCCAATTTTCTGTTTTTTATAGTGTTAATAATTTCTTTATCTTTTCTTAGCCTCTGGAAAATAGTTGTGTTACTTGTGTGGTGTATATATGAGACCCTCAACATACGTCGGTAGCACCACATTTCAAATGCATCCAATCGTTTTATGGCATCTTCTGTAAGGCTTCAGCTTTCTACTCCATAGAGGAGGACACTAAAGACGTAAAATATAAGAATTCTTATGCGTATATTGATACTTAAAGATAAGTTGCAGATAATCTTCCTAAGGCTGTTGAAAGAGCTTCTGGCTTTTTCAATACGAGTTTTTATTTCGTAGCTGTGATCCCAAGTATCCTTAATATTGCATCCCAAATAGCATATCTTTTCCACTCTTTCTAACTGTGTATCGTTAATTGTAATTTGGGCGTTTATGCCGGTGTTCTTATTAATGATCATTATTTTTGTCTTCTTGCAATTTAGTTTTAGTTACATGCTTCTATAACGATATCCATCATCCTTTGGAGCCCCTGCGCACTATCTGCCAGCAACATTGTATCGTCTGCATATCTAATGTTGTTTACAAGTTGGCCATTTACAGCAATCCCATCTTCTGATTTGTCCAAGGCCTCTCTAAAGATGTTTTCAGAGTATATGTTAAATATTGCCGATGACAATATGCAACCCTGTCTCCTTTTTCGTCTGAGAAGATCTCGAACAGTTTATTTTCTAATCGTACTGTTGCTTCTTGTTGTAGATATAAGTTTGAGATCAGTCTTATATCCTTACCATCGAGTCCTGATGCTTTTAAGATATCGATTAGTTTCCCATATGGGACTTTATCAAATGCCTTCTCGAAATCAATGAAACAAGCATACACATCGTAGTTGACATTCCTGACTTTCTGTATTAGAACTTGCAAACTAAAAAGTGCTTCCCTCGTTTCGAGTCCTGCTCTGAATCCAAATTGAACTTCACTCAGGTGTTCTTCTAATTTGGTGTATATGCTCGAGTAAATGATAGTAAGGAGTACTTTAAGAACATGGCTCATCAAACTAATTAATCTATGCTCTTCACATTTTCTAGCGTTGGCTTTTATAGGAAGTGGAATGAAAATTGATAGTTGCCAGTCTTTTGGCAAGTAACCAATCTCGTAGATGTTGTTGAATAGCTTCGTCAGAGCTGTGATTTGGTGTGCCTCTAACAGTTTTAAAATTTCACCATCACCTCATCAGGTAATGGTGATTTTCCATCTTTAATCCGCTTAATAGTTACTTCTTCATTCGTTATTTCTGGGCCGTAGGGAATGTTTATTTCAGTCGGACTTCGTGCTGCATCTTCGAATAATTCTTGCTTATATTCTTTCCATCTTCGTAATTTATCTTCAATCAAAATTTGGCCTTCAATGTCTACAACGATGCCTGTATTGCGTTGTTTTCTGGTATTCTGTACCTCTTTAATTTGAGTGATGAATAATTGAAATCTTACTGATAAAAAAACTAAGTGGAATTGCATATATACCTTACAGGGGCAAAATCTAAGGATTTACCCAATTTAAGTTTAAGTTTAATGCAATAAGTATAGTGTCACATTGATTTATAACAAACATCTAAAAAAACATGTAAAGCTGATACCGAAATAATACCATTACCTAATCGAAACAGATATTTTTAAATGTCCATTTTATGTTTCCTGTAAATAATAATATAGGCATCCACACCTTAAACTGCAGGCTTCTAGAATTTGATTACTCCGTGGCAATTGCAAAAACGTTATAAAATATTTGGATATATTGGTCTGTTTGGTCCTGTTATGTTCCTCTTTCCCTTCTTAGTATTAGGAGGTCCATCGTATAGATTGTGTATTGTGCCCATCTAATGAATGGGGCAGAGAGTTTTTGAACTTCTTGGCACATTAAGAGTATATTATTTGTGGTGTGATTCGGTGTCACAATTTTGTTTATATCTATGTGTAGATTTTTGTGAGCTTTGTGTGAGTTTTTCCTAAATAGTTCCGTCGTTATTGTCTGCTCTACTTCGTCCCTTGTCTTCATTACCTACATTCGCTGGAATAATCTACGAAAACTAATGATAAACAATTCTACGTTTTACATTTTTAACATCGTGTCACTCTACTATTAAAATACGCCACTTCGTTGTATGTTTCAACATTTTAATCTAATCATTATCGATAAATCTAAATTACACCTGTTTTTATAAATATGATAAACTATGAACTAGTTTTTACTTGAATATCATTAAAAAATATCTATAACGTAACTTAAATATTATTGGCGTTCGTTCCATTTAAATCATTGATGTTTTGCTTATTACATAACTGGTAAACATTAAAACTGGAAACAAATTAACTAGAAAAATTAGAAGAATTCCCGAACTCTGGCAAATAAATCAAAGAAAAAATCAAAAATTAAGGCCATGA